TGCTGGTTCCCTCCACCATGCCTTCCCCCATCTCATGCATCTTGTCTCTAACAGTGGCTAGTGTAACATATTTAAAAAAAAAAAAAGGCATGACATCCTCACCATGATACACCTCAAGATGCAGTGCTACAGTACAAAAACAACAGTTTTTCCTGATCCCAGTTTATGCTCTGAAACCAGATTATGCTTGTACTTTCATATTAGTTAGTGAGATAATGCTGTACAACTTTTTAAATTTTTTGCCTCTCACTAGTGTGGTGTACGGCCCCGTCTGATTTTCTATGGGTCAGTGGCCCCGACCCAAAAAAGGTCCCCCACCCCTGCTATACCACATAAAAATTTGCCACGATGAAGGAGAAAAATTAACCTCTGAGGATAGGACAAGAAGCAATGGGCTTAAATTGCAGCAAGGGAAGTTTAGGTTGGTAACTATCAGGGTGGTTTAGCTCTGGAATAAATTGCCTAGGGAGGTTGCAGAACCTCCATCAGTGGAGATTTTTAAGAGCATGTTAGACAAACACCTGTCAGGGATGGTCTAGAATAGATAATCCTTAGCCCTCCCATGAGGGCAGGGAACTGGAGTAGATGACTCTTAGAGGTCCTTTCTAGTCCTATACTTCTATGATTCTAACTTGGAATGGAGAATGAGGGTTCATCTTGATGTGTATCTCTAGCCAAAAGGTGTATTCACAGGTACCGGAAGCATCGCTGGCAGTAGAGATCATCATCGCAGTCGTGACAGCGCAACGTGGCATCTTCATTGCAAATACAGCACCATGGTAACTCCTCATCATCACTGTCTTCTGCCGTAGCAATCCGGCTAGGTTTCTTAGTACCACCTGTGGCTGCTGGGATTTGGTTCTAATCCAGAAATAAATTAGATAAACAAAAATCAGGGGTCAGACTGGGATAATTTAGGAGAATTAGACTGAACTATGTGAGTTGAGGGTTATCTCACCTGGGAAAGCAACTGGGGAGGGTTTTTACAGAGTGTGAGTCTGTCCAGAGCAGAGATGTACAGCACTTCCATTCTAATATATGCTGGTTACAATTACACATATACTACTTCAGTGTCTTTACATCAAGGGTGTCCAAGTTTGGCACCAAACTCTGGACCTGGAGTCTAAGCTCTTGTTTGTATCTACCTAATTCTCTAAATAAAAAATAAACGCTCCTGCCCAGGTTGCATATAATTTTATCTTCATGATTGGCAAATAGCTTCTCCTACTTGTTTCATGCCACCAGCAACATCTACCTACAGTTATTATTTGTGTTGGGGCAAGGCTTAGGGTATGTCTAGACTACATGCCTCTGCCGACAGAGGCATGTAAAATAGTTTACCTGACATAGGCAATGAAGTGGGGATTTAAATATGTCGGGTAGCCTATTTTACATACCTCTGTCAACAGAGGCATGTAGTCTAGACATACCCTTAAAGGCCCCAGCCAGGATCTCACTGGGCAAGGCACTGTACACACAAGAAGAGACAACCCCTGCTGCCAAGAGTTTACAACCTAGAGCAGCACAGACAGATGAGGGGTGGGGGAGAGGTAATATTCTCTCTATTTCCCCCCCCCCCCGCACTTTGTAGATGTAAAATAGAGTCACAGAAAGGCTTTGTGACTTGCCAGTGATCAAGCTAGAATTCTGTGGTGGTGGTTGGGAGATTTTGAGTTTCATTCCAAGTCCAATGCCTTACCTGCAAGATCATCAGTCTGCTTAGACTTATACTGCCTTACTGGTGATAACAGTGTTGTAGGTGTGTCAGTCCGAGGAGATGAGGTGTATGAGGTGATTTTCTTTTATTGGACCAACTTCTCTTGGAAAGAGAAACCCAAAGAAGAGTGCCATGGAGCTTGAAATCTTCGGTCTTTCGTCAACAGAAATTGGTTCGATAAAAGATATTACCTCACCTTCTTTGACTCTTTTATGGTGATAAGCTGCAACTCCGGCTGTCTGAACAACCCCAAAAGCCACAGGCGTTTGAAGAATATTCTGACACTTTCTCCAAATACATTGCAGACACATTTTCCCAAACAACAAACAGAGCTGTGTGAATAACTGGATTTTTCTCTTTGGTGACAGTTTAAAAAAACAAAAAAACCAGCACACACACACACCCCACCACCACCACCCCAAACAAACAAAAAACCTCACACTGATCCGAAACAAAACTCTTTTGAACTTTTTAGCAAAACCAAAAGTTGAAAATAATCTTGTTTCAGGATGAATGAAATGTTTCTTTGACCTCAAATAAAAACTTTGCTTTAGATTTACAGATTTTATTTTTCTTAAGATAAACTGAAGGACATTTTTAATGAAAAAAATATTGTGTTGAATAAAAAACCCCAAACCGTTTCACTTTGAAAAATGTCAGAAAACAAAACCTTTCAATTTTCTGAGAGTTCTTCTTTTTCACCCAACCAAAATAATTTGGCACATGAGATAAATCTGCAAAATCTTTTGGTAAAAAATATTTGGCCCAGCTCTAATGATAAAATGTTGTTTTAAAAACAAAACTTTTAAAAACTTTTAATAATATTCAGGTGCGAAAGCTCAGAGTAAGAAAGATGCAACATGGCCACATTGATAAAATCCGTAATTAGAAATGTTTTCTCACTGAGGACAGACACCCCAGTTACTGGGAGATCAGAAATCCATTTCATTCTTCTGACACTTAATAGAGTACTAGCCAATTATCCCAATTAGACGGGATTTTCAGGTCCCTCCTCCATGTCGGTCTTCTCTCCTGAGCCTCCGGTCTCTCGCTCCGTGTGTCTCTCAGCTCTCCTCCCCCTCCTGCCTCTCACTCAGGGGACCGCGGAGCCCAAATGGCTGTTTGGGCACCGTGCTGCATGGGGAGCACAGAGCCCAAATGGTCGCTTGCACCACTTGCCCCCACATGGCATGGCTATGTCTAGAGTACAGCAACAAAAACAATTAAAGGTCTAGAAGACATGACCTGTGAGGGAGGACTGAAAAAAATAAATTTGTTTAGTCTGGAGGAGAAAAAACAGAGGGAACATCACAGTCCTTAAGTGCATAAAAGGTTATCAAGATTTGGCCCATTATATATATAGTAGTCCAATGTCTGAGAGTCTGTAATGCTGCAATGTTGGCTGTTCCCTCTGGGTGGCGCTGTTGCCTGAAATGCCGGCTGTTCCCTCTGGGCGGCCTGTGCTGCATGGGGAGTCCGGGCCCAAACGGACGCATGCGCCACTTGCTCCCCCGCGGCGGCCCAGCTGAGTGGCGCAGAAGTCAGCCAAGTGCCACAGCGGGAGGCGAAGGATGTGACTCAGGCAACAGCGCTGCCCAGAGGCAACAGCCAGCATTTCAGCATTACAGAGTCACAGACATTGGGATACTATATATATGATGTGCATGTTGCTGTGTTATAGGCAGGAATAACAATGAATATATGGCATCTTTTTACTAATTTCTCTCATTGATGTCATAAGAGGACATATTCACTTGATTATTAATGCTGTCTACAGACCTGACCCTACAACAATTGGAAAAGCACCCACTGACCTCAGCACTGCAGGCTCTGGCTCTCTAGTAGTAGACTGTAGCTTACATTTTGTGTAATTACACTGATGGGTTAGGAATCCCTTCCCTTCTATCTTCCTCGCTGACTATATGCTGACCAAGTCCTCTGATTGCAGAGGATGCCATCCAGTCCTACAGAAGGCTTTTCAAGGAGCCATGCTCCTGATAGAGAACCCTGTCAACGCTGGCCAGCATGGGGGAGACCCTAAGTACAGTCCATGCTAGCTGGCCTTAGAAAAGTCAGCTGAGACATTCATCTACTCAGACTGTCTACCTAGGGAAAGCTGGTTAGTAGCTCTTTGCTGTACTCTGTTTTTGGGAACTTACAGTACAGTAAGCACTATTGTAAGACGGCCTTAGAGTGGGACTGAGATGTGAATTACACAGAGTCATGTTGTATTAGGAATAGGAACAAGTCATTTCAAGAGGGCTTGACTAGCTCACGGACCTTTAGCTTTGCTTTCTTGGGCAGGAACTGCCGTGAGGTTGCTGGACGGGTGGCCTGATCAGCAGGGATGTTGAAGCCGCTTGCTTCATCCAGAGCTGCTTCCTCAGTGAGCTGGAAACAACAGAAAGCAAGATGTCTTTACTTTCAAATTCCTACATGAGCCTCTCTCCTGGAGTGAAACTTCTTTCCCTCCTTTGATCTCCAAACCCTAACAAGAGACGCCCAAATGTTATAGCTGAGGTCTGCAGGGAGGGAGAACTACATTTATAAAGTGAGCTGCTCTATATCATCTCCTGCCAAGGGGCCAGGATGTGCGCATGAATGGGAAAAAGCACAAGAGATTGGCCAGGGCCTGCATACTCCACAGATAGTGGGACCTACACTTTGTAGCCAACTCGAGAAACAAGATACTTCTCAAGATAGGGAAGTTGCATATCCACCCAGAAAGGAACCAAGGAAGGAAAAGTCAGATGGAGTAATACACACACACATACAGAACAGTCTGCAGCCTTAGCCAGCTGGGCTCCAGCACTGCTTTTCTAACCATTGCTTTTTGAGGTGGAGTTAGTTTTAGAAGTGAAAGATCTGAGAGAGCCAGACTATGACCATGGAGTAAAGACAGGGTCATTGTACGCTGAATAGGAAGACAAAAATGCTGGGGTTATTTAAAAGGAAAGAGAATGGAGTCCCAACAGCTGTTTCTGACCTGTTTTAGGACTCTCTGAATGGCTTCTTCTTCTGTCAGCTCCTCATCACTGTCAGGGAGCTTGTAGTCTTCCAGAGTAACTGCAAGAGGAGGGGAAGATTTTGAGGCTATACTAACTATACTGACTAGCACCTCTTGTCATCTCACATCTCAAGGGATGCACTCAGCATGACGACCTGAATGCAAACTGGCATCTCCTTTTGGGATGGATCTGTTTTGGAAGGGCGATAAAAATTTGCAAGAAAATGTTAAAAAAGTTCCAGGATGTCTTTTGGGATGGATCTGTTTTGGAAGGGCGATAACATTTTCTTGCAAATTTTTAAAAGTTCCAGGATGTAGGAAGGAAAAAAAAAAAGCATTTCAAGGGCATAATTAAACAAGTCTTGGCATGCTGGAATTAGCAGCAGCCTGGATATGGGGCCAAGGGATTTCATCCACACAGCTTCACTTGGGGCCTCAATCCCTAATTTTCATAATCTTGCAATTTGGCACTACTCCATACAGCCTAACCACTGGACCCCAAATCCTGTCATCAAGGGACTGTCCATTCCTAGCAGCAACGGCAAGTCCTTCCGGCCATAACTTCTCCCCATTGCTAAATGGAGGTCAACATTCATGTAAAGGCACCAACTTCTCCCAACGCGACAAAGAGACGTGACAACTAAGCTAACACCATCTTGTTCTTCTCCAGCACAAACTGGTGTTTCTTCCTATTACACACCTTTCTCTGGATCCTGGCCTCTGAGCACTGCCAGTCTCTTTGCAACTTCTAGAATCTTTTCCTCCCTAGTGTTGGCCTCCCTCAGCTCAGCAGCCGCCTCTGCCAGAAGTTTATTCTTCTCCTCCTCCAGCTGTTTTGGGTCCAGGTCAGCAGTACCGATGCTGCTCTCACTTATCCGATTGAGATCATTCAGCGTCTGGGTATTAACAGCTGGAAAACAGCCAAACAGAGCATTTATGTGTTACAATGACAACTCCCCTGTCTTCCAGCATAGCCCATGTCTTAAAAGAAAGGACTAAGAGTAATAAATACTTGTCTCATACTGTAGGAGAGGTCTGATGTTCTGCTGCACAGCTCTCTCTTTTCCACAGCTAAAGCACTGATGAGTTTCAAGGTACATGAGTCACAGTAGCATGATCCTTGTATGTGGACCATGGTAACTGAGTTACATAGTAACTGAGGTCCCATGGAAGAGACACGCTTTTCAGAAGAACATATTACATTTAGAGCAATCAAGAGAGTTTAAGCCAACAACAAGAGATTTGGGGCATGGCTCTAGACAGTATCCCAAGTTCTTGACTACTGTGTCAACCATCTAAAGAACACAGAAGGACAGGAAATTCTAGAAACTGTTCCTCCCTAGGCTGTTCCTCCCCAATTAGCACAGACTGGGGAGGAACTAGAGAGAAATCATCCAACAACATTACCATTGAAAGAGGAAAACATTCTCACTGGCTGAGACAATGACACATGAACATAGGTCTGGGTTGCTGCTCTTGGTCAACATTGTGTGTTGGTAAGTGGGAGGGAGGGATAAGGCAGGATACCTGGCATACCTTTAAACCTGCTGATTTGGGAGGTACCTGCTCATTATAATATGTGTATGTAAGATGACCCTAAGAAAAACTATTTGAGGTCAGTGATAACAGGTACCTTGAGGCTGGGCTTCTGGCCTATAACTCTCCTCAATGGCAACTTCCTCAGCCAGCTGGGTTAACAAGTCATCAGACTGTTGGATGTGGGTTCTGACATCAGGGGGCTGGTGCACCTGGAAAAAGCAAGAGGATGCACGGGAGAAAGATGTAGGAGAGTGTTAAATGGGTGATGGAAGGAGACAAATTGAAAAAGTCTGAAAAAGTCACATAACATATTATGAGACTACCTTGACTCAACCTTAGCATTTCCAAAAGCGCCTCAGTGTTTGGGTGCCCAGCTTGAGATGCTTTGGCCTGATTTTCAAAGGTGTTGAGCGCACACAGCTTCTACTGAAGTCAAACAGCTAATCTAAGCACAGAACTGGGCGACAGGAACTGATGCAATCTATGGTAATCCCAGCTCTGATATGGATTCCTGATGCAACACTGGGCCTGGCATTTAGGCACCAGAATAAGTGACCCAGTAATCACAATTGTTGGGCAACCATGCAGCAGCTCCCATGTACATCAGTGGAAGCGATTTTGAAAAAGGGGGGGGTAGGGCACTAAATTGAGACATCCAAAGGTTAGTTCAGTTCCCCTGCTCTACCACAGACTTCCTACATGTCCTTGAGCAAGTCACTTATGCTTCCATAGCATTTTACATGTAGACAAGTCTTTAATCTCTCTGAGCTTTTGTTTCTCCTGCAAAATAGGGAAGTATGTGCATACCTATCTCTCTGGGATACTGTGAGGATAAATACATTCAAGATACTGCCTTGCGAGAGGGCATATAAGCACCCATAGATAGCTTTGAAAATCAGGCCACTTACAACTAAGCAGGGACTTAGGTGCCTAAAGTTAGTATCAATTTTTAAGAATATCTTGGCAGTAAAATGTAAATACACTATAGCTATAGTGAAGTAGTACAGTATACTTGATATAGATAATTAAGGAGTGCCAAATTAAAAATGAGAGTTTTCTAAAAACATCCACATTTATGTTTTAAAAAACACTGACACTTAATAGTCTATTTTTAATTTATCTCAGCCACAGTGAATGTTGCGATAAATGCTAACCATTTTCATTTACATTTCTTCTCAGTTTCACTTTGAACATCACGTATCCTACCAGTAGGCTACAATGTTTGAGTTGTAAATATTATAGAGGAGCATTTTTTTAAAGTTATGGCAACTTTTCCAATGTCCTACTTCAGTTTTGGAAAAAAATTTTTAAACATACATACAATCACTCCAATGTCCTACTTCAGTTTTGGAAAAAAAAATTTAAACATACATACAACCAGCTCAATTTAGGGTTAAACACAACCCAGCTGTGTCTCAATGTAAATACTTTTTGAACATTTGGTCCTTTGTTTGGGATGCTGTGCCACACACTTGAAAAGTATTTCTGACATCTCTCTACACAGAAGCCATGCTTTATTTTCACTGAACAGTTCATAAAAGCTTGCTTTCTTTTGACAAATGAACTTCTATCACACTCTTCTATCACATTCTTCTATTTAACACAGTTCAAGAGGAAATATATTCCTGTCTCAGTCCAAATTAATTATTATTAATCTGGTTTCTTTAAGTTGCCATTCATTTTATCAACATCAGCAACCACGGGCTCAATGCCCGTTGGTGTCCGATACCTCCCTCACTATTTCCTTCCATCTTTCCCTGTCCAGTGCAGAGTGGCTTAGTTTCTGTAGACTAGCTCTGCACCAATCTACTACATCATCTACCCATTCTCTGTGGGATCTGCCTCTCCTATTTGGACCATCCATTATGCCACCTCAATATTTATTAAGAATATCCTGAGCCGATGTAGCAGTTTTCAAGCAAGGATCTAAAAGCCTAGTGAACATCACATCAACCTTCAGAAATAGACAAGTATTTTCACATTTTTTTAAATAGTCAGAAAAACTAAAGCAAAAAGAGGTTAATCTATCTATTAGAAATGTGTGTCCATCTGTGATTGTGCTTTTTCAAGAACTCCTATAAGGTAAAAGCTAGGCTCATCAAATTTGGTAGGCAGCTTCCTCTTATCTTAACGTAAAGCAAGGTCAGGGTTTGGTTGTGCCAGGACAATGGGATGTGCCTGGAATTCGACTGACTGAAAGGGAGGAGTCTAGCAGGAGGAACAGTTATACTGCAGAATGACCACAGGGGAGGGAGGGCAGCAAAGGGCTAGAGATGGGGATTAGGACAGTTATAATCTCACTGGGCCAGAAGGGGACTGGGGTAGAGAAAAGGAGAGAATGTCTGTTTGTCCGTATGTGTCTATATGTCCCCAAGGTGGGGCACAAGAACCCCTCCCTGGCTGTGCCTGCTGCAGCAGCCATGGACAGGCACGTCCCGCCTTGCCACAAGTTGCTGTGGTGAGAGAGGGTTGGGGTTGTCCTCTCTCCCAGGGAAGCCTGAATACTGAACATTTCATCCCCAGCCCCACCCCAGAGCAATGATTTAAAGAAAGAAAAACAAAAAATTAATTGAATTAAGGACCCGAGCAACATGAGGTAAATCTTCTCGTAGCTTGATATTCAGAGGTGGAGGGCACCCACACATCCCATTGTGTTCGACAGCAATTGTGCATTATCAGCACTTCTGAAAAAATCAGGCCACGTGGTTACAAAGCAACTCAATGGCAGAGCTGGAACTAGAACCCTGGATTCTTAGCACCAAGCTCTAACTTTCAGACAATGCTCCCTCTCAAGCCAAGTCCACCCACATAAAACAACAAACAGCTGATCTGTAAAAGTCTACCCTAAATCTCAGGGAGGGAGGTTTCTTTCTTGACAGCTTCCAGCACTAAACAAATAATCGTTTGTTAGACAGTGCCACAATGGCCTGCCACCATCTCTGAGTCCTCATCCAACTGAAGAACATGTGCCCTTAGTTCAATTCTGGAACATAACAACAAACTCTCGCACAACAAGCTGGGAACTAATGAACAGATTTCTGGAGTGGCAAGGTGGACATGAATTAATGAAGAGGGAGGAAGGGCCTGATATGCCTCTGAATTCTCTTGAGACACTACAACTACTGGGAGAGCTCAGACAGAGAAACTGGCAAGAACTCAAGGAGGCCAGGGAATCTTACTGGTTTGGGGGTTTTGGATGGAAGGGTTCTTCCCTTAAGGGCAGCCAGACGGTCTTCCATTTCCTGTGTAGACGGAACGGGTTTCCTGGGGTCATCCTTCAGTGCGGCAAGCCTAGATTCTATCTCTGCCTGAGACGGGATGGACTCTGCAATTCAGAACAACCCTGTTTGTGTACAGCAAGGAAATGGCTTCTATAGTTTTAGTCTGTCGGAAAATTGTTTTCTTTCCAGAATGGGACCTCAGACAGTTATGCAAAGCCTCCCTACTCCCACTGATCAGAGCCCGGATAATGTTTCAGATATTGTTAGGGTTTCATCCTAATGTTATCATCCACCACTTCATTCTGAGCCACTGCCTCCTCCCCGTATATCCCCCAGCCATGAGGTGAGTGTGACTGGGGGGCAAACAACATTATACGAGTTTGATTGTATCCTTTGGTATATATGGTTGTGACAAAAGGATCATTTTTGTTTATTGTATCCTTTGGTATATATGGTTGTGACAAAAGGATCATTTTTGTTTATTGTATCCTTTGGTATATATGGTTGTGACAAAAGGATCATTTTTGTTTATTGTATCCTTTGGTATATATGGTTGTGACAAAAGGATCATTTTTGTTTATTGTATCCTTTGGTATATATGGTTGTGACAAAAGGATCATTTTTGTTTATTGTATCCTTTGGTATATATGGTTGTGACAATTTTATACCAAATTGGTATATATGGTTGTGACAAAAGGATCATTTTTGTTTATTGTATCCTTTGGTATATATGGTTGTGACAGTTTTCTTCCACTATTTGATCTGAGGAAGTGGGTCTGGTCCACGAAAGTTCATCACCTAATAAACCATCTTGTTAGTCTTTAAAGTGCTACACAGTCCTGTTTTTTGTTTCAGCTACACCAGACTAACATGGCTACATTTCTATCACTAATGTAACTAGGGCAGTGAAAGCAAAATGCATGCTCTACCTCCCTCTTCAGAGGCAGAGTCTCCACCGGTGCCATTTCCCACTCAAGCATCCTAGAGCTGCTCTTCTTTTGTTTGTTCCTGCAAGGCAGGAATGGACTCATGGAGCCCTGCATTGCTCTTTGTGGGTCTTAATACTCCAGTCCAAGGATTCCCATGTCTGACCACTGTACAATAGTTTGGCCACACAATAATAGCACTATGCACAGTCCTCTGATTCACTTTGTTCCTATTGTTATCATGCACAGGGGCACGCCCAGGAGACATATAAACAAACAGCTTATTTCACTGTGTCAAGACATGCAAGATAAGGAGTGCACAAGTGAGAAAGTGAAGGTTTAGGGCAGCAAAATGTGTGCATTGGAGAGCAGCAGCCTAGAGAATGGGACCCAGATATCCACTGCTCATGGACAGGACCTATGAGCAGCTTCCTCCTCCCCCCTTCCATGTCTGGAGGCTAGTCTATAATGTACCCACTACTGTGACTAAGCTAGCTGCAAAGGAATGTCTGCATGGATGCTGGAAGCCTCTACAGTACTATGAAACTCACTGGGCTTCGTTTCCTCCTTGAGCCTCTCCAGCCTCTCTGCAATAGCTCTATCCTCCTTTGACAGCCCCTGATACTTGGAGCCTGCCCGGCTTTGGGGTTTCACTGGGGCATTCTGTGGACCCATCCACTGATTCTGCTTGGCCTCAAGAGCTGCTACACGCCTGTGACAAGAGAAAAAAAAAAAACAAGCATAACGTTGAGTAGGTGCATAGAACAAAAATTATAAAGGCATCTTATGTAAGCTCCTCTACCAGTGCACTATTTAGAGAATGATGATACAGGACAGAATATAGGACAGGTCTTTTATACCTGCTCCTGACTTTGCCAGGGTGTATTTGGGCCTTGGGAAGCAGACATACTCCTAGCTACTAAGGAAATCCATTCTTCTCACAGCAGCATCAATATAAAATGGTCAAAAAAGCAGTCTGAATGATTAGTAATGAAACATGGAATCTCTCAGTTGTAGATCGGAGTTCTAATTCAGACAGCTGCCAAAAGTCAGTATCCACAGGTAGCTGTTTAGTGAGCTCACCAAAAAGAGATGCTGGTTTCAATTCAGTTCTGAGCAGAAAAGTGGCCATGTTACAAGCCCACCTTCTTGTCAGCAGTCTCAGCAGAAAGCCCCAAACCCAAAAGAACAAACAATTAAAGATTGCAATAGGCTAGACTAAATCAGAACTCACTTTTTGTAGTTCTCTGGCGGAGACCATTTAGCTGTTTTAGTCTGAGACACTCCTCTGGAAAGAAAAAACAGATAAATCTCAACTGTAAAACACAGACCTGATTTAGAGGTCAAGATAATGGTACAGCTGCATAGCTTCTCTCTTTCAAATCTATACAAACTGTGATGGCCATTGCCACGGCACTTGGCATTCTAGTACCTGGCCAAAATTCACTTGGTTTAAAATGTGTCATTAGTATTCTATAATAAGAGGAACACAAACTCCACTGTAGCTTGCAGATACAAAAAAGCAGGAAATGGAAAGCTTCTCGAGCTCACAATCAGTGATAAGCCTTGGGAAAGAGATGTGCCTTACCACTTTTTCAGAATATAAAATGATATAATGTGTTTTAAACATTGTAATACAATAATTATACATAATATTGCACAATTATACAATACTTTTAAACATTGTAATACAATAATTATATATAATATTGCACAATTATACAATACAATATATAATTATAATATTTTGTAGCATTGTGAGTTACAGGTCTGTAATACCTGTTTATATGCTACAAATATGATCATCTTAACTGTGCTTAACTATTGGTCTGAATAGTGGGCTTTTTCTGTTACAACAAAAATCAATCCCACGGTATGCAACCGTAGGTCTTTAGCTTATATATAGCATCTAGGCCTTTGAAACAATGAAGGTGGGTTCTTTCTTGATTAGAAGTGTTGCTATTAAAACAAACATCTTATCACTAGGCTGCTCAGCTGCTAAGCATTAGTATGGACAGTTAGAACTGAAACCCACATGGTACCAGCTTAAAAAAAAAAGAGAAAAAGATTATTTGGGATTCCAGTATGCAGATGGTGTGCATGTGGCAGTGTACAGTGGATTTATAGAGGGAAGTGGATCAGCAATCTGCTCTGTATCACTGGAAGCTGAAACACATTGGCCCAACTTGGCCATCTTACCTGGTTAGCTCTCCATGACATTGCTTGCACACCTTCTGCTGAGTATTCCCGCAACGGGGAACAATGGCACTAAACCCAAGGCAGCTTGAGCAGAATGCCCGTCCACAGTTCTTGCATCCACACTGAGAAGAAAGAAATAAAGAAGTGAAAAACTTAAAAAACAACAAATAGTCTACTGGTAGCACCTTAACGACTAACAAAACATGTAGATAGTATCATGAGCTTTTGTGGGCGCAACCCACTTCTTCAGAAGACAGGAAATGGAAGTGCAAGTGTCTCATTGCCTGGTTGTAACAATTCTGTGAAATATACCAGAGAGATTCAGGGATATGCACCAGGTAGGAGAAACTTCCACAAAATATTTCAGAGAAATGTCTTTAAAAGAAAAATGAAATATTTGTATGAATAAGAATAGTAGTTGCAGCTACTGTAGCTAGAATACCTAACATACGAGTTTTCAGTGTTTAAGACACAAGCTGATCACCACTAGAGTCAGCAATGCCATTTCCTCCCACAGTGGAGTAAAGGGTTCACATCAGATTACATGGACCACAAGTCTGCACTATTATAGCAATTCCTACATGTTTTAAATACAGAGAGATTACAATGTCTGTCATTAATATGCAATTAAGGAAAACAATGACAGAGACGCACATAAAAAATGTACTTAGAGTCAAACAAGCTTAGCAGGTTTTAACTGTAAAATGTAAAGCAGAGTGGGAGGTGGGGTTAGGAATGTTAAATATCAGTTAAGTGAATAGTCGAGTAACCTCACAAATTCTTATCGGTTACTCGACTATTCTATAGTCACCAGGAGAGGAGCTGGCACTCCACTCCCGAGGAGCCCCATGCCACTCCGTACTGCTGCCTCTGTATCAGAGGCAGCTGCATGGAGTGCCAGGCAGGGAGCCAATTTAAAACCAGCTCCCCTCACAGGACCCGGCGTGAACTGAAACTGCAGAGCCAATTTAAAACCAGCTCCCCTCACAGGACCTGGCGTGAACTGGAACTGCGCTGGGCTGCCTGCCCGCCAGGCTCTTAATACACTTTAAGTGAAGATCTGCAGCAGGTGGTTGGTCCCTAACCCAGCGTGACCCAGGACTGAAACAGGCTGCTGGCCAGCCTGCTAAAAAATGTACTGGCAAGGTGGGGTGGAGGTGGGGAAGGAAATGCGTGTAGTCTCCAGCATTAACCTATAAGCTTTTGCTTATCGGTTAATCAACTACACTATTACATCCGTAGGTGGGATTACTATTTCTGATATGAGGAACCTCAAATTGTTGGCATTTCAGATTACATTGAGCAAGCACTACCATAAGAAAACTTACTCTACTGCCTAACTGGCTTTTTAGAGAGTCAGATATTTTATCCAGCAGTGTTGAAGAGAAACTTGCCTCTTTTCTAAAGACAGTAAACTTGGATGCACAGCCATAACACCTTCTATCCATAGCGCCAATGGGCAATGCAGGCTCACTCTCTCACAGCTGTACAAAAGGAAGTAGTTTATCCCCTGAAGCTGTTTATTTGTCCAGATAGAGCTGTGCTGGAATATTCTTCTCCTTCAGAAGAGGAATGGAAGAGTATTGGGGGAAATGATGAATTATGGTGTATCAGTGGTTGTTTACTTCCTGAACGACTGATTGTAGAAATGATGGTCCCAGATTCTTTCATCAGAGAGAGGAGGAGAAGGGATCAGATCCTTGCTTAACATTTACAAACAAAAACCTTTAATGAAAGCATTGATAATAATAAATAACATTATAATTTGCTGATCTCCTAAATGACTACGTTCTATGTTTACAGCTAAGATGAGATCACCAAAGTGCTCTCCCTCTCCTCCAAATCTCAGCCAGTCTAACTCGCCTTCTTCTATAAAGCCTATCGGCAATAACATCTACAGCCCGTTGTACTGTACATGTTTGCGTACTTAGGATGCAACCTCTCCAAAGCAGAGATTTAATTCCTGCTTTAACATACTGTGCCATAACACTATTATGTATTTAGCAAACCAGAGGTGCTCCGCGCCATACGCGCACATACACACAAAGATGACAAAAATCCCTGCTCCTAGTCAGAAGCTCCCAGTCCGAACCAGGTGCCATGCAAAGCTGCAATGCTACTATGCACATACTGTAACAACCGGAATCCCAGCGAGAGTCTGGACTCAGAGTCGGTGCAAACCCCGCACAGCCCAGTGTACGGTCCCCAAGCCATGAGGCTCTGCATGTGCCAGCATCCGTCAAGCCCCTCGCCCCGTCGACTCTTGCAGTAGGATCTGATACTCCAGCTGCAGCGCCCGGCAAGGAAACTTTGCTGCCCTTATCCCACTAGCACCCGAGGTAGGCAAGAACAAAGCCATGGCAGCGCACGGCCCGATGGGAGTTGTAGTCCTTACATCCCAGCTATCCCATCCGCAGGGCTATACGGCTTGAAACAAAAAACTAAACTTCCCAAGACAATGCGCATGTCCTGCTGAGCAGAGCCTGCCGGGAGCGGTGATTTTGCCGGTAGGCCAGAGAGGGAACTTCCGGGTGGGCGGTAGACCGCGCGCGGCATTGTGGTAGTTGTAGTTCCGCTTCCTCCTAGGGCTGTAAGAATAGAGGTGAATGTGAGGCTGGAGAGACTACATTTCCCAGCAGCCAGTGGTGCGGGATAGTGGTCAGGCCCGGCGGCGCAGGGGAACCGGTCGGCCGGACAGTGGGGGCGGCGCGGAGATGGCGGTCGATAAGGAGCTGTTGCAGCTGGATCTCTACGCCTTGCTGGGGGTTGGGGAGAAGGCGTCGGAGAAGGAGGTCAGGCCTGGCCGGAGGGAGGCTGGAGAGACTACATTTCCCAGCAGCCAGTGGTGCGGGATAGTGGTCAGGCCCGGCGGCGCAGGGGAACCGGTCGGCCGGACAGTGGGGGCGGCGCGGAGATGGCGGTCGATAAGGAGCTGTTGCAGCTGGATCTCTACGCCTTGCTGGGGGTTGGGGAGAAGGCGTCGGAGAAGGAGGTCAGGCCTGGCCGGAGGGGGATGGGACGTCGGGCTCCCGCGGCCCCTGCAGCGCGTGTGGGGCCGCCCAGGGCCTGACCCCACGGGGGCGGCGGAGTGCCCCGCCGGCTCTCTGACG